TGAATAAAAAAATAGACTATTGACATTATAAAAGAAAATATTTATAAGTAACAGAATCTTAAAATAGAACCTTACTCGCCAGTGGTGCCAACTGGTGAAACTATCATTACCTAAATAACGCATTTTTTATTCCTTTTAAGTTGGCATTGTTTTTTTTATCGTATGGGGACACTTGCGCAAAAAACACTAGCACGAAGACACTAGCGCGAAAAGCCATTTTGAAAAAAAAAAATGTAGTTGTCCCTGACAAGACAGAAATTTGGTGAAATGGTCCCTCGTGACTTAAAGGTTAAGAACCACTGCGCTAGATAGACCTATAGTGGCCATCATTGTTCGGATGGACTAATGAATAATGAATTGTATTTTAGTTAAATAAACTGTACACAGCGATTTTTCAAAGTAATTTTGTATCAAGTAAGACTTCTGTACCTACCTACTAAACCATTCTCCTTAAAACTCTTTGATCACGAAGAAATTAACAAAAGGTAGGACATTAAAATACGTCGAATAATTAAAGCCAATTTTGAAACAAAATTACGTTCGATTTTACCTTGATGTAGGAATAGGTATATTTAAGGAGACATCTGCATAATGGTCGGTTCCAACTGATAGGAGGGCGTTAAGAAATAAAACGCATCATTTTGGCTGTTGTTTTTGTAATAAATAGTTAAATAAAATCAATATAATTCTCATCCTAAATAATATCGATAAAACCATAAGTCATTTAAATAAATCAAATCGATCATCTTTGTTCTGTTTTTTATTTTTTCTTTGTGTGTCAAATAAAGTTTTTCTTATTCTTATTCTTATTATCATTGGGTAGTTGACACTATAATAACAAGACACCACTTAGCAAATTTAGCATTACTAACTTAGCTTCCCTCTCTATTTTTCACACTTTTGCTGACTTAGCAAAAGTGTGAAAAATAGGGAATGGTGCGTTTTGACAGTTTGAAAAAAGTATGTCAATTGACTGTGCTGTCAAATACCCAATTGATTGCTTGCGTCTCGTTATTTGTTGCAGTCACTCTCGCAAGCAGCTTGGCAGTCCTCTAGAGTGTTGTAACGGTTGCCGTTTCCTCCACATCCTCCATAGATGAACTTTTTGCATCCACTGTCAGGATCGTAGCCGTAACTGGAAAGAGAGGAAGGAAGTTATCCAAATATATTATTATGTATGTTACGGTAATTTTCAATGTGACAAATTGAAAATTATTAATAATAACTTAATAACCGGTTATTATGAATAATTACCGACAGCTCGTGATAAATCAGTGATTATTTAATGTGACCTGTGTACTAAGAAATATCCTAAAAGAGAACACCGGCTCGTGTACAGCGCTCGTGTACGGGTGCGCATTTTCTTAGATAACATTTCAATTCCTATCATTGGAGGTCCGAAAATATTTCTCATACCATTTGATACCATAATGATCATTCTTCATAAAACAATTAAAACTACATTTATTTTAAAACAATTTCATTGAAATTCATAATATCACTAATTAATCATACACTTAGTTTTTACAAATTTTTTTTTCATATATTTTTCTGTACTATGATCGAAACTCATAATCATTCAACTAAATAACTATAATATTCATAAATGTGATTTATTCTTAACTAAGTTTACTAAGGTACCTACATGCCAAATTTCAAGCGTCTAACTTAAGCGGTTTAGATTTTGCATACAAAAGGATTTTCCCGCTAATTCCTGTTCCCGTGGGAATTCCCAAGTATACTATAACCTGCCCAGGAGTATGAAGAATAATTGTACCAAGTTTCGTTAAAATCCGTCGAGTAGTTTTTGTTTCTATAAGGAACATACAGACGGACATATAGACGGACAGACAGACAGACAAAAATTTTACTGATTACATTTTTGGCATCAGTATCGATCACTAATCACCCCCTGATAGTTATTTTGAAAATATATTTTATGTACAGAATTGACTTCTCTACAGACTTATTATAAGTATTCTATAGATGTAAAAAGGTCTTACAAAATTTTAAGAAAATAACTATTAAAATAAGGAAAATAAATACTTACACTTGGAACGAGGCTCTGCATGGTCCGGTGACAAGAGGCGAGGTGCAGTCTGGGGCTGGGGCTGTGTAATAAAATAAAAACTTTTTTTTCATCGAACCTTTTGGCGGGAAAGTGAAACGTCATGCACCTAATGCATAGAGCTATAAAGGATAGAGAAGGTAAGCAAAATTCTTATTGTATTTAGGAAAGAATTAAAACTAAAGTTCGCTACAGGCTACAGCTGTAGCAGCTGCTGCATTAGTTCTGTTGTCTAACCAAACATTAAAACATGCAGCGCTAGATCCGCTTGTTCTCAACGAGTCACCACACCCAAACGAGTATGTCATTGGGAAAAATATTCCATTTAGCCACACTGTTACTCGTTCGAACATTTGTAACCTATCTTCCCAAACGGTCACACATTAAGTACCTCCCAAGTAACATTTTACTCCATTTAAGAGTTCACATTTAGTTCCAATGTGTACTTAAAGCATTAGTACAGTTCACTCGTGATGTATAAGCTGTATTATTGCAATTAATTACACCTATACCTGTCTAAGGGACTTATAGGAGTGTAGACTAGTGTAGAGTTATACTTTTATACGATTGTTGGTGTTATAATACTCTAACAACTATCCTTTAGTCAGCCATCTGACTAAGAGCATTATAGGAGGGTAGTACAAATACCAAACTAATATTAAAATGTGGAAATAATTTAAGACACACGTGAACTTTAGGTAGCATTGGAGTACTTTTGTCGGACTTTATAACTTTGAAAGCTGTGCATTTAGCCACTTGTTACTCTTTATTGTCCTCACGTACGTTGTATGGTTCACACTGCGTCCCATATAGTGCCGTAAGTCAGCCTTAAGTACGATGTTACTACTTAAACTGCTATTATAATGCTATTATACTGCTAATGTACAGCCATAGTGAACTTAAAGCTGTCTAATTTGTGCCCAAACTGGTTCTATAAAAGCATTATAGCAAGCTATACAGCTCGTATACAGCTGACATACACAGCTTGTGGAGTACATGTGAACGACTATTGAACTCTTAAATGGAGTAAAATGTTACTTGGGCTACCTTTAGAGTAGGCGCACACAGTTGATTTTTCGTCGGCCGATAGTTTAGTCGGGCAGTTGATCAGTATGGGCATGTATTGTATGGGAGTGCGCACACAACGCCGATTCGATTTGGCCGATTCTTCATACAAATTAAAATCGGGCACAACTATCGGCCAACTAAAAATCAACGGTGTGCGCCTACTCTTAATGTCAGAATAAATTCGTTAAAAAACAGTGAACAAAATACTGACATTAAAAATCTAAATAATTTTTCTAAGGTTTACTGTCAGAAAATACATGTTATAGCCTGACCAGGAACATAAAAACCCTCGCCATATTGCGGAAAACTAATGGTACTAATTTATATTAATGGCAACAGTAACTAAAAACTTCATTGACATGTCACCTTGCATGTCAGTCAATTGTTGTCAAAGTGTAAACAAACTTTATTTTAAATGTGCGCAATTGATTTTGTGAATGAAATTGCTAAAATCTTTTTATAGTCGTGAAAGAAAAGTGGTTCACA